TTATATCATTCATCTGATAAAGCAATATTAAATTATTATTAATTACTTATATTATATTACATAATCGTGCCGTTTCCGTGAGATGTAAGATGTAAGTAACATCCACCCATGGTGTGACACAGCTGCATATCTCAAATAGAACTATGTTAACAAAGCTTCTGGGAACTTCACAAGCCGCCGGAAACCTCGCTAAAAGAATCATCTGTTAAGCTTAGAAATAAACTCAATCGGTTTTAGGATATAAACTTTTTACTTTGAAAACTTTTATATGTTAAAAACAAAGTATATCAAGTAAATTCGCTGCGAGGTGAAATATATTCTTAAAACTAGCTTTTTTATGAAAATCACTAGAGCTTGTTCGCACGTTTAAACCATAAAAATACACGATATTATTCTTTTCAAGAGTCGATGTAGGATTTAACAAGAACCCCCCCCAACGTGCGTTCACCTTGTCGTGGTGGGGGGGCTCAGTAGTGCCCGGCAATCCAACCGGGCGCGAAGCTAAGAAACGCACAGGGAGGTTGCCCACTTCGGTGGGCGGTGGGAGGTGGCCCTCTTCGGGGGGCGGTGTACCATGCGGGTTGCTCCTGGTACTTCTCTGATAGCAGAGTGGACTGTGGAGCAACCCCATGGTTGTGGTGGTCTGCTTCGGCAGACCTGCCGTCGGGGCGTCGTAGTTGAATGCGTAAGCGATCCTGCGACGCCCCATTAAGACGTGGGGAAGGTTTCGCTGTGGGTTTTAGTGAGTAGGAGTCTCACAGTACCCTGCCCATGACGGCGGCAGGGTCCCCATGATGGGTTTCCCCAGGGAAAACAAAAAAAAAAGGATTTAACAAGAATGTTTGCACATAGTTTTACTGCAGCTATAGAATATACATGCATCTACATATTATGTACGTTGTACACTTTAAATTGCTGGCAGAAGACGACATGGACAGATATTCTCTACCCGATATGCGTAAGAAAATGAGTCGTATATGTCTGTATATAAAATGTGTCTTTATAAATATATAATATATTTTACGAGAACGACGCCCTTTGCATAAGATATGTGAAGGCAAGCCTTGGCACTAACCCTTCACGTTAATCCTTTGGGAAATAGCGCGAGGATATCATAACAGCTTTTATTTCGCTGAGATGTTTTAGATGCGTATATATTTTATATCGATAGCAATAAAATCATATTACCTTGCAACTAAGTTGGAGAGCCATAGATTATAATCTGAACGGATGTTAGAACTTCAAACACTACCAAAACCCTCGATCCTGTTCGAGAGTTGTGAGAACCACTCCAATAGGCAATAACGACTAATATCACCACAAGTACTTCACTTGGCAGGTTAGTTGTTATATTGTTTTGATCGATGTTACGAGTATTTATTAATGTTTAATAATAAATTATTTCTGTATTTAGCCCTTTTTAATATCCCACTGCTGGGCACTGGCCTCCTTTCAATACGAGGGGAATAAAATTCATTTATCTAGCAATGATATCTTCGATGACAGGTATTGATGAATCAATAGGAGATGATTTCAGAAGACACAGAGGTAATGTTAATATTCCACACTTAGTCCCTTATGTTGTACCCTTTTTTAACGTTGGAAAATGCATTTAGTCATACCATCTGCTAACATAGTAGAGTGAAGTCATGCAAATGTAACCAGCGGTGGAATATCGTGCTTAAGGCTTACTTAGTTAAGTTAAAACTGTGCTGTACTGCGTGTGTTTATGACCTGCCACAAGTGGCCTTGTGAACCAATAGCAATATATAAAATTTAATGCAAAAGAAGTACATTAATTTAATATTTGAGAACTACTTAATAGACCGTAACATATTTCCTTTAATTTTTAATTACTTGATGTTGAAAATGTACACTAGATCTATTGGTATAATGTTTGGTTGGATGACATTCTTTCAAGAAAAAAAATTGGAGAGATATTATTATCTAAATAAGTAAGCAATATATTTTTTTATAATTCATTTTGTTTCAAGCATACGATAACAAACAAGTGATTTCAGTAAACAGTAAATTAAGTGCAATGTAGTTTGAGGCCCAAAAAAAATATATACAGTTTTTAATTGACACGAACGTTCAAGATTTCTAAGCCTTTCTGGGTATTTTGGGAATAATAATATAAAACGTATAAACAGAGATAAGAGCCCCTCGGGTCCTCAGGTTTATTAATATTCAAAAGAATCGCTAGTAAATATTTAAGAAATTTGGCAACGCGCAGCGGCCGCATTTATACGAGGCCATTTCGCTAGCAAAAGATCCCATTGGGATAAGTCAACTCGTCTTCAGTTAAATCAGTTAATAATTAATCTGCTAATAGCTTTGAGTCGACGAACGCGACTCTGGTTACAGTTGACACTTAGGAGATCTTACATCATTAACTATACTATTATAGTTAGGTACTTTAGAAGATTACATTACAAGGAGACTTTAATTTACAAAAAAAGATAATGGTAAACTTTAATATTTATAGAAATATGTGTCCGTGTTTGAAGTTTTGTAGCCTATATTTGTGTCTCTCAGACTGTATATCTAAATAATAAAAATAAAAAAAATAAAAAAGCCTTTTTATTTCTTGCAAGAGTAACAAAAGTAAATAAAAAACAATTAATTGAAAAAAGAAGATAGTACAGTAATAAATAAGTGTGCATATTGTTTTTTGTATTTTTTTAATTTAAGTAATGTTATATTTTTCGTTAATGAGCAAAAAAAAGTAAATAATGGTTAATCCTAATGTTATGTTTGATTATTACCTGCAAGAACCCTTCCGCAGGTGAAGGCCTGCTCCAAAGAGTACCAGTTTTCTCTATCTTATATCGTATATCGTATATCTAGATATAAAGGTATAAATATGAAGAGTGGAACAAACGAGCGTGAAATTGAAGAAAGTACCTTAAATATTGAAGATATCGAGCTTACTTTTGAAAAAAGCTTCATTTTAATATAATGATTCCTTATAATCATTGTGTCTTATGTACAATGTACATATTCGAATAAGTCAAAAATGATTCTATCGCGATTATAATATAGGTGCATGATAAATAAAAATATGTATTGTTATGAATAAATTAAATTTTTCATTGAATCAGTTAACATTTGCATCGTAAAGTTCCACGACAAACTGCTGACAGAGAGCCGCCCGAGGACGCTTCAGCTAACTTTCGAGACAAAGCCGCCGGCTCCTCTCCACTATGCAATTAGTGACTGACAATTATAGTCCACTTCATTGAAAATCCCAGCAATATATCCTACAATTTAGTAGCGTGACGGGTTTAGTATTGTATTTGATATTAAGAATGACTATATTATGTTTTTCCCAAACAAGAAATTATTTAATGTTATTATCTATACATATAATAGAACTGCCTCGGTGGTGTAGTGGCTAGCATGTACGGCTGCACACCCGGAGGTCCTGGGTTCGAGTCCCGGGTCGGGCCAAGTTTAGTTATTGAGACTTTCTGTATAGTAAGTCTCAGTAACAGCCCGGAGTTGGGATGTTGGCGGTGTTTCACCCCCGTGCCTCGGAGAGCACGTAAAGCCGTCGGTCCTGCGCTTTAACTCCCACCGGTCGTGTCGAGTCCCACCGGAGTATGAGAGTGATAGGAATACGAGCGTGCACTTGTGTCTGCGCGTACACTTGAGCACTATAATATTTCCTGCGCAGTTGGTTAATCTCAATGAGATTGGCCGCCGTAGCCAGAACCGGCTAGGAGAACATCATCATCATCATCACATATAATAAAATTGTAACTAAGTCGAATCTGTACATTAAATATATTTTGGAAAATCTTATTGAAATAGACATTATTATCGATACAGAGTCCGAATCTACAGTGTTAGAATTTTTGTCTGTCTGTCTGTTACCGCATCACGAGAAAACCACTGGACCGCTTTTGATGAAATTTGGTATGATGATAGCTGGTTACTTTTTACTGCGGGAAAATGTCTAATGTCTGAGTAAAAATTCAGAAACTGCATTGTAAGAGTATACTAATATGTAAAACTTTCTGCATTGAAGTGAAGATTGACCTATGTCAATTCGCATTTTTTTTAGTTATCTCTTAAACTAATTAAACAACCTATATAAGTTGAGTCCTCTACCCTGCTCGTGGCAGGCTACAATATATTAAGATATGAATATCTAATAGGTAAATATGTATTTTACGTATCGAAATATACTAGATTTGCATTGCATCAGCTGGCACCGACTTCGAAAATATCTGATAAGGTATCTATTCTAAATGAAAACCTCCGTTTAGTTATTTTTACATTTTAGTGTTTGGAAATGGTTTTTTTTTTAGTTTTTATTTATATGCTATTTAACAGAGAAAAGCTATTTCAAAGTTGCAATACTGTTAATGAAATGGTTTACTCTTTCAGTTCTGTCATTAAAAATGCAATTGACACATTTATGCCACCAAAAATATCAAAAAACAAACTTTATCCAGTTTTGTAGTCGAACACTAATTAAAATGCTAAACAAAATTAACATTATAAGAGTAAATTATAAAAATCCAAGAGATGAAATAGAATTACAAATCTTAAGAGAGCGTAGTGAGAGAGAGATTAACAATTGTTACAATCGTTACTTATGTAATATAGAGGTCCTAATAAATATGGCTTAGGAAATTCATATCCTCACACAATGGCATACGGCGACAACTGGCAAAAACTTCTGATGGGATAGAAATTTGTAACATGCTTGCAACGTACTATTCATCTGTCTATAAAGAAGATCATATCGATACTCCCAATGTTTATGATAAACTTTGGATCGATTATTTAAATAAAATTAGTAAGCGTAGTGATTCATTTTTATAATTAAACAATGGGTCCAGACAATATCTGTCCGCTATTTATAGTTAAATGTAATAAGTTAATAAGAATTTTCACGGAAAAACGTAGTTGGGATTTAGAGAGTTGCTAGTTTAAAATAAAAAGAATGTTTATTCACATTGAATTTAATAATATTTTCAGTTTATTTAATTTTGAACTCTACTTCGCATCTGCAACTTATAATCATGCACGTGTTTCATCATCAGTACGAACTTAACTCTTAATGGGTTCTCACATTCGTAACTGGAAGGTGGCTCGATGTGGTAGTTGTGTATGACGTTCGCCAAAATCATCTTTTGGAAAATCATGGCTTGGCGATACCCTGTGAAGTCATATAATTAAAAATAATAAATATAAATATGAATTATGATTAAAGACTTTCTAAGATTTATACAACCTACAAAATGGCAACCCTATATTTAGCTCATATATTTGCACGTCATCAAAAACTAAACAAGTGAAAAAAAAAATAATGTACCTATGTTTCTTTCGTTATCGCAATAATATCTCCGTAACGGCTTAACGAATTATAACATTACTTTCACTGGCGGATAGTTGAGAGAGTAGAGCAAGAAGATCATAGGCTGCCATTTAAGGGAAAGTTTTATTAGTTGATTGCGGGTTTCAATAAGAGCCAAAGCAAAGCGAGCGTTTGTCGATAACTTTAATGCACCATAAGGACAAGCTTAACTGGACAGCAACCAGTATAGTTATATTAGCATTAAGTTTTGTGACGTATGTCATGTCTTCGATTCCCACTTCAAATAACTCTTTGATTGATTATTTTATATTAAAGTTTTATTATTTACAGATTTATCATGTGTACATTTTAACTCTTGCTGTTTTACAATAAATGAAACCTAATTTTATAAACCACAATTTAACCCACTGCTCTATGGCTGTGTGCGTGAAAATCACTATAAAATTATCTTTATTTGTAATGTGTTTGGAAGACATTGTTTATAAAGCAATATTAATAAAATTCTACGAGGACGTCGCTGTACAAATGATTATCAAGCTAGCTTTTATGGACTCCTCTTGTAGTGCTTCCGCTAGGTATACAATTATACGTGCTGTAATCAAATATTAGCACTTACCGGCACAATTTCGAGTACCATAACTGAAAGGCATATATGCGGAGAGTTGCTGCGGCGTTGCGTTCAGGAACCGCTCCGGCTTGAACTCTTCCGCATCTTCGCCCCAGTACTGCGGGTTGCGGTGTATGCCCCATATATTGACTATAGTTTCGCTCCCTTTACACAATTGCAAGCCTGAAGCTGTAACAAAGTATACAGTACAATATTATAAAATATATTTTTTTCACCTTTAGAGTTCTTGTAAGTCTCTCTCTCGCGACTTTCCATCATTTCGTAAAGAAAATGCATGAATTCAGGGAACATCAGCACGAAAGATATTCTTTCATCAATTTTTATTGTCATATTTAAGTACTTTAATATTATTAAATAAAAATAATAATGATTGTTAAATAATAATAATAATTATTATTTTTATCAGAATAGGAATATGTTGTGTATTAAGTTATATTAACTACATATATTCGTAGAGACCAGCCCTCCAATAAGCGAAAAAGAATTGTGACCATCGACATTTTAATATTCGTACGATTGAAACAAATCAGAAATAATTATCATTTTATTTATTATAAATAATAAATATTATTCAATTTCAAATCTTAACAATATTTTACAATCTCCAATACAGTAAGTATATAATATAGACGATAATAAATAATTTAATTCACTTACGTAATTTGAAATCTCTGTCAATATATCTCACAATGATAGGCACTGGCGGGTAGAGGCGCATTGACTCCTTTACAACTGCGTCTAAGTATTCCAGTTTGTTGATATCGTTTAGTGTTATTCTGCCGGAGTCACCGACCACTGAATGGATTCTGAAATGTAATATTGTAAGTAGCATCACCACAACCACACCATAACTCGCAACCAAACTGACCAAACATGCAATACTTAGTAGTAGTACTTTAGTAATTATTTATTCTGTCAATTTTGTATATCTGAATCGTTCAATACGTAGATTATATATACGACAAGTATACGTTAACTCATAAGTTTTCTCTCACTTTTATAATTATCTATAGGTAATCTATATTATAAAGAGGTAAAGTATATGAGTTTGTGAATTGTACGTTTGTGAGTTTGTGACGTTGAAGGGGGTAATCTCCTTGATCTACTAAACCGTTTTAGGTGAAATTTGGTAAGAAGATAGTTTAAGACCCTAGGAAGGACATAGAATATATTTACCCCGGAAATCTATATAATGTTCAAAATCGCCAAGTTTGCATGAAGAAGTAAGCTTCGCTAGTTCTTAAAATAAATAATATGTAATTTACTATGTAAAAATGTTATAATTATATTGGGTTTATCTTTATTGAAACAAAAATCTTATTTTTTGGGAAAATGTAATAATTATAGAAGAACACACTTTTCATAATCAATTACACTTGAGCGTGGTAATGGCGACGTGGTCACAGACTCGCACATGTCTGACTGTATTTTACACTGGCTGTACTTACTCACTCTTTGTAAACCTTTTCCTGCAGATCGCGATGCTGTGACAATAGAATCAATGTAAAGCAAGCAGCCGTCGTCGAGGTGTCGGTAGAAGCTAGCAGTAGCGTCAGTGACTCCTCGAGCAACTCTGTGTCGGAGTAACCATTGTCTCCTCCGGAATACTTCATTAACAACTCCACAAACGACTCCGTTTTATTGTTACCTTTTGCATCGAAATAAATAAACTTGTCTATAATATTAAATATAAATAATCATTACTGATCTATATTTTTAGCTAATAGAAATTTGTGACAAAAGTAGCGTACCTATACAGTTTTAGTGCTAAACTAGCGACTTACCCTCGCTCCGCTCGAATTCGTCCCTAGGAACGTTTAACTGTTTTGAGCGGATCCCTAATTGTTTTTCTAAAATAAAAGTAGCCTATGTTATTCCCTATAACATCAGTTATCTTCCAGTGACATTCCCGTCAAAACCAGTCCAGCCGTTTCAGAGGTTATCCGGAACAAACGGACAAAAATTAAAAAAAATGTGTTTTTCTTATAAGTAATTTCATATGCATTTTACTAATTTTTTTTACTAAACGCTGTTATTTGACATTACAAACAGACACTTCAATTTTATTTATCGTATAGAAGATAAAAAATAAAAGAAAGATTTTTTAGGACAGATATTATTATACGAGGATGTACAGGTGTTCGTAATGTTGACGTCCAAAAATAAAATTTAGGTCCCTCGTATCGTAGGGTATCCAAATCACCCCCATGTACGTTACGCAACTTTTCATAGTTAGCAGTTATGATTCATAAGTAGTATGAAGATTCAATTGCAAAAAACAAATCTCGACGAATTCTTCAATTTTTTTTTTAAATTTTTTAAGTTTGTCAGGTCGAAAATTTTCAAAAATTTATAAAAAAAATCATAACTCATAAACAATGAAAAGTCGCGTAACATACATGGGGGTGGATTTGGATACCCTACGATACGAGGGATCTAAATTTTATTTTTGGACGTTTAAGGTTCGACCACCTGTATACAGCGAGCAATATTCAATCCAAAATTTCTAATATACATACAATGTATAATGTTTATAGATTAATCTTTCTTTTAATCATAAGCGGAGGAATTCCGATCAAAGATTTTTGGAAAAATATATAATGTGCACGTTAAAGTACGTTACATAAGAAAACTTACGGTTTTCATGCTGACTACACTTTAAATCCTTCTTTCTTCTTTGTATTAACTGAAATATTTTTTTATTAGAGTTGAAATCACATTAACATAGCTTAAAAATCATTGAATATATTAAAGTTTTTTACTTTTGTAACGAAGTCATGAATTATATTTCGTGCCATAACTTGCTTGCGATAAACTGGCATCCATCGGTAGACAGCATCGTTGTGGAGCCAAAACTGTAACGTGCGAACTGATAAATTGTCGAAGTACTCGATAAATGCTTGTTCAAAGGGATGTTCCGAATTTTCTTGTATGCTTAAGTATTCTCCAAATATTGTTTCTAAAATAAAGACAATATTAGTTAATATTATATTGTTAGACGATTACAATAATTGAATAGCTTATAGTCTGACTTACAACAAGATACAAGTAATGTGAGATTCATAGATAAAAGAGGCAAAAATGTAATATTGCACTAAAAATAATATCATAAATAATCTTTTTGGACACGGGGTCTTAAAAATAGAATACGTGCTTAAGTTACGTAGAAGACCTTAGTAAAACAATATTTCTTTATTGTTAGAAGAGCAAAAACAATAAGACGAGACGTCTTTCAGTACAGAGAACACCAGGGTTGACTGTTTGTTTTGCCCAAGCAATTTGCATTGAGATTCCACGGGGAGTTTGTGTATACAATAATTATTACATTTGAATGTAAATAAGTTTCATTGCATTTTTAACCGATGAACAATAAAGTCCTCCTAACCGATTTCGGCCACGGCGGCCAATATCACTGAGACTAGCCAGATACGCAGGAGATATTACAGTGCAGCGCGGCTACGCGCAGACGTAAGGGCACTCACTATTCCTTTTACTCTCAAAGTCCGACAGGACGATACGACTAGTGAGAGTTAAGGCGCAGGAGAGCGGCGTGTCTCGGAGAGGACGTAAGGCCTGACGGCAGCTGGTGAAACACCGTCAACTTCCAACTCCGGGCTTTTATTGAGAATATCTTAACAGAAAAACTCAGTCATGAAACTAGTTCCGACTCGAGACTCAAACCTAGGACCTCCAGATCTGCAGCTGTACATACTATCCACTAGACCACCAACGAATAAAGAAGGCGCTCAACATAACCATCGAATCAAAGTTAGTTACAATTATTTAGGGAGCTCCTTTAGGTGTTAAGATTGAACAATAAAATTCTATTTCTGTCAATAAAATATTTATTTTAAGCAAGATACTAACCGCAAGCGGAGTCCATCGAGCAAGAGCAGACGAAATCCCAACACGAGAAGTCACCCTTGCCGGCGACTCGCGCGAGCTGCTGCACTATCACGTTGCTGTTACGTTCAAAGATTTCCATGAAATTTTTAGTGTGCTTCTGTGCAGTCGCATGACGAAGGATTCTGCGCCGATGACGCCACGTGTCCACTGCACAAGAGTTAAATCTATATGTATATAAACAGACTAAGTAGTTCAGTACCTCCTCCTCCTCTGCTTGTCAACCGATTTGGTTCCTTTTTGTTTAGTATCTAGCTCATCAAAATAAATCCGCGAAATATTTTGAAAAGATAGTTTTATTTAAAATAGTACCTAGCTATTGACGAGCTTCAGTGCTTTCAATAAAAAAAATGGAAACAAAAGCATGACACTTGCAAAAAATTAATCGGAAAAAATATCTTTTAGGCAACTTGAAATCATTATAATCTTTTATTTTAGTACAGGTATTAAAAATAGAAATGAAATTCCCAGATTTATTTGACGGTTATGAAGTATATTCCAACAGAAGCCCAAAATTCCAAAATTGTTTTATAAATACAAGCAAAATTCTATATCAGCTACCTATATGTTTCCTTATAATATAATTATGGTCAAATCGACCACTCGGCGAACATTAATAAAAAAAAAGAATAATACTATTATTCTCTACTAGCAGAACCCGCGGCTTCGCTCGCGCTAAAAGTACAAAAAATATCTAAAAAGGTAGTTTCATATAAACAATCCCCCCCCCCTTCTACCCCCTCTACCCCCTTATAGGATGAATTACTAAAAATGCTAAAACAAGTATTTATTAAATTTTATTGAAAAACATTACCCACAATTAACAAAATGAATTCAAAAAATTGAAAAATGACACTAAAGTACCTTACAATATTTTAACTTTTAACTTTAAACATTTTTATATAATTTTTTTATTTTTTATATTATTATTTATTTAATTTGAGCTGTTATTATTATAATTATTACAATTTTAAAAAATATTTAATCTATTTTTAGTGTTGCCATTATTATATTTATAACCCTAAAGAAAAATCATAATATATTAATTATTTAAGCCACAATTGATCTATGTGTAATTTGAAAAAGTTAAGATTAATTAAAAATAATAATTTTAATTTAAATTTGCTATTATTTAAAAAACAAATTATTAAGCAACACATTACTACATACATTTACAAATGAAAAAGTGAAAATATTATGAATCAGAAATGCTATCATATATTATATGATGAAAGTCCGTCTTTCTTAATGTGAAAATCTTAATGTGAAACCCGCTGGTTGAGTGATTCCTATAGGTCTGTTGCATTCTTCGACATTAAAACTATGTCATTCGCGTAAATAATTTGGACAAATAGTTAAATAAATAATACAACATATTCGTAGGAATAGAACCGCGACTGCGTCGTAAACTATTGAGTGATATTTCTATAAGATGTTTTTTTTTTCATATACAATACTAATACTATACGTCAATCTATCTATACTAATATTATAAAGAGGTAAAGTTTATGACGTTGTAGGGGGTAATCTCTGGATCTACTAAACCGATTTAGATGCAATTTTAGTAAGAAGATAGTTTGAAACCCTAGAAAGGACATAGGATACATTTTATCCCCTAAAGGGGGTGAAAATGGGGATGAAAGTTTGTATGGGGAAGCAAGATAGGGACGAACCCGAGCGAAGCGAGGGTGAGTCGCTAGTAATATATATACATAAGTATGATGAGTTGTTGTGGGATGTATTATAACGTGTTTTCCCGTGAGAATGAGATATTCTCCCATAGTAAAAACACTCATTCCCTCCAACTATCTCCAAACAAAAAATTCACACCATTCAAACAAACACACTTTCAAGTTTAGTCACTTATTGTAAGTAAAGAATAATATCATGACGTTGTAATTTTCTATTTATCTTGTACCTATATGAAATTATACTCAAATAAAAATATTTGAAACTAACCAGAGGCGAAGACGGAGCCGTTGCCGATCAAATGACGCGCTAGTCTGCCCAAGGGGCCCTTGTCGAGGTTATATTTTAAAACCAACTTTGCAGCGTCGGGATCAGATATACCTAAAGATATTCGTGTAAAAGAAAAAAATAACAATTACATATCATTTATTAATAAATAGAAAAGTAATGAGAGCGTTAGAAGGTAACCTTAAATAATTACGTCAAGTAGAACTAAGAATACAATTAAATACTCTCACCATAATATAACGTGCTGCCGAGCCATATGTTGACGATGCCATGTTTATTTTTGTAAGCCTGATATGCTAGCTCTTTTATGCGATTCATACGATCTAAAAAATTAAATAATTGATATATTATCATAATTTGATATTTATAAACTTTATATACTTTATAATTTGATTGACAAAATATCAGTTATTCTGTATAAAACAATAATTAAATTTAAAAAGTAAAACTTTCCGAGCACGACAGCTTTGAGAAAAGCTTTTGTCGATTCTTTTTAAAAAAATGCAAAAGAATTATCTTTTTAAAGTTTTTTCGCTTTCTCTTCTGTATTGTTGGCTGAGAATATAAAATTGAATCTTATTTGCAAGTATGTACATATAAAGCCAATCGACACTTTTATTAAAGAAAAATTAGGACGACAATTTTATTTTAATATCCATTTGAAATACCAACCTTCACTGCTCCCCAAAAAATGATGCGCGTGTCCAATGAATGGTATGTAGGAAAATTGTGTTTTTATTTCTTCGTGTAATTTTCGCAACTTATTAGTTTTTATTCTTTGAGCCGTCAGCACAACAACTACCACAAGTAGCACGAGTATGTATTGCAACATCTTTTAATCTGAATAAATTGTTACGTACAAGTCAGTATTTAGTATTATTAAGAATACTAGAGAGAGGGGAGACCTACCGCGTCACTACAGCACAAGCTCGGTTACAATTTCGGAACTGGAGAGCATGAGTTGAAATTAAAACATATTATAAAGTAAAGAGTAGTATGGAACGTACTACTTACAGGCAGAAAAAAAGATAGAATAATAAAATATTTTAAAATAAAACTATCTTTTCGGATTTTTTGGTGTATTTATTTGGATTTTTGGTTCCCGACGTTTCGAATGCTTTACAGAAATATTTGTAATACAAATGATTTCAATGAATTAATTATTTTAAGATTGTAATAATTATAATAATAACAAGAAAAATTAAATAAATAATATTCCATATTCAATTACAAACTAATTAAAATTATAAAAACGTGTAAAGTTATAAAATATTGTGAGGTACTTGGTGCAATTTTTCATTTTGTTATTTGTGGGTAGGTTGTCTGTAACAAGTATACCTTCGAGACATCTAACACCTCAGTCTCTCCCGTGACCATGATTGCTGTAAAGCATTCGAAGCGTCGCGTCGGGAACCAGAAATGTAAATAAATCCGCGAAATAATCCAAAAAGATAGTTTTATTTTAAAATGTCAAATATTCGCGTAAATCTAAGAAAGTATTATAGATAACTAATTAATATTTTTAAAAATATTAATTAAAATATTAATACACGTCGGATCCTACCGCTGGGTGTAACAGACAAAAAATCTTACTAATATTATAAACCCGAAAGTGTGTAAGAATGTATGGATGGATGTATGTTTCTTACTCTTTCACGCAAAAACTACTGAATGAATTTTGATCAAACTTTACAATAATATAGCTCATAAATCAGGAAAAATCGACAGTTCCCGTGGGATAGTTTTTTTTTGTTTTTCTAGAGGTGAACCTGAGCGAAGCGAGGGTGAGCTGCTAGTAAAAAATAAAAAAAAGAATATAAAAATTAAGAGATCTCCATTTTCTTACTGAGTCCGAGTCGCTCTTGGCCAATTTTTGTATTGATGTATGTATGTATATTGGTGTGTGTGTGTGCAGTGTGTATGTGTGTATGGGTGTGTGTATATGTTTGTCTTTTCCGTGTTGCAATGGCTGAATGAAAAGATACTGTAATGTCATTTAGACCGCGCTCTTTTCAAGTAGCCTCGAAATACGTCACCTACAAAAAGGACGTTGGAAATGTCAAAGTGTTCATTACAAAGATGAATAAATAGACAATGAATGAACATGAAAAATAAATGAATAAAATAATTACACTTACAACCTTAAAACAGGATGGGATGTCGTATTTCCGATAAGTAAAAATGTTAATTGATTTATGTTTTTGTAATATACATAATATATTGCAAGTTATACTATTGTTTGACTTTATTTAATTTGTTTTTTACTTCATATACCGGTTCATATCATTATAGTAAAAAAAGTTTATTACTTATTTGTTTTAAACTGTTTTTATATATTACAATGTCCTTCTTTACTTGGTCGCCTGATAACAGGATATTCTATAATACTTTCTTAGATTTACGCGAATATTTGACATTTTAAATAAAACTATCTTTTCGGATTTTGTCGCGGATTTATTTGGATTTTTGTTTCCCGACGTTTCGAATGCTTTACAGCATCCATGGTCACGGGAGAGACTGAGGTGTTACATGTCTTGAATGTATAGTTGTTACAGACAGCCTACCCTATTTTGTTAATTGTGGGTAGGCTGTCTGTAACAACTATACATTCAAGACATGTAACACCTCAGTCTCTCCCGTGACCATGGATGCTGTAAAGCATTCGAAACGTCGGGAAACAAAAATCCAAATAAATCCGCGACAAAATCCGAAAAGATAGTTTTATTTAAAAAGGATATTCTTATTTAAATGGAGTCGTTATCGAAGGCCGGTTCTTATAATATATAATTTTATAATATTTAATAATGCTGTCACCATTAAAATATATTATGACACGTATAGCTCAGTTTGTAGTGACCCTACTAGAGGTGCCAGCGGTCGCGAGTTCGAGTCCCGCTGGGGGCATTCGTTTGTGTAATGAGCACGAATGTTTGTACTCCAGTCATGGGTATTTATATTTATAATATGTATGTATTTAAAGTTATATATGTGTAGTGTATCAACTATCTGGTATCCATTACAAGCCTCTTAGCTTACCATGGTACTAGATGGTGTTGTTTATTAATGTCCCAACATATTTATGTATTTATTTATTCTTAATGATGATAAGATTTTTATGGCAATATTATTAAATTGAAATTTTTCTTAGAAAATAAAATAATGACTCTACTCTGTGTAGGTTTATTCTGCCTGAATCCCGAAGGCGATTGTTTTTCCTAAGACTTTAAAAACATGACATAATGCACATTATTTTCATACGTGTAAGTTCAAATTTGTGTTACTCGTAACACAATCAGCATTTCCGATTTCACGTTTTATTCTGTGGTGTGACTTAACGTCACCTATGACGTCAATTTTGAAGAGATTTTTGTTAAGAATTATTGTACATCTATGGTTTTATATATCAATGCTATATTATAGCTTACATAATATTATGTTCTTTATAAACGGTCAGCTCAGTACATCACCGAAGTACTCTCCGATGTCTCGTATACGGTACGAGTCAATTTCTCTGTATTAGTTCTATTTTCAACAAACAGATTCTGTTTCACAAAAGTTTGAAATATAGCTACAATTTGTATGCACCAAGTTGTGTAGAAAAGTTTGCTCGCCCCGGTGTTGTACGCCGTAGTGTAGTTGTGCGTGGCCGCAGGGACTTCTCACACCATCAGTGTCCTAAACTCGTTATGTACTATAAGATTAAATGTATACATATGTATGTACATATTACATTTAAACAATATCGTTAATATTGTTCTGAGCTTTACCTGTTTTAAATTTTACTTCCTCTATCGAGTCTGGATGGATGTTCCCATATGTGTGCTTGTCGTACATTAATGAAATGGTATTAAAATTAAAAAAAATATTATAAGACTAGTGAGTTATCAAGCGCAGCTGTCAGTTTTTCCCATAAACTTATATCATACTAGCGGACCCGACAGACGTTGTCCTGTCTACACGTCTTTAATTTGAAAATTTCAAACTTTTTTTAATATTTTTTTGATGAAAATTATTATTCAAATTGTGAATCTAAACCATTCCCAGATCCCCTCGAACACACACAAAAAATTTCATCAAAATCGGTCCAGTCGTTTGAGAGAAGTTCAGTGACATACACACTCACAGAAGAATTATATATATAAAGATTATCATAGCAGAAAGGGTGTCTACTTACTTTCATAAAGTATTTCTTTGCAAATACCATGTCCGCCCCATTGCAGTGTGAGAGAAGAACAAACCTACAGACATATTTAGCATTATAACCATATTAATTGTAACTAAAAATTAGGACAATTTCATTCGCAATTGACTGCTGTTACATGCTCTCACAATGTTTACGGCCATTAAGTCAGCCGTAGCTCTGCCTTTACGAGCGGTTTTGTAGTCCATTCGCTGTTGGGCGAGTACTTTCGTCTTTACTCAACTTTGTCGGTTGTGTCACCTGGCATATATGTGTATTTTATTATGATACAAATTTGAAGCCAGCGTTGAAGAAAATCAATTTCGACGTAAACAACAAGGAATGGTATCATAAATTTTCACGTGTTTGTCTGTTTATTCGCTAAGTTCCTCAAAGACTTTAACTAATAAACTAATATGGATTCTTAATTAAAAGTAACTTTTAAGTTTACTTTTAATTAAGAATCGATAGCAATTTTCATATGATGATGATGAAACAAAAATTTCACTCAATTTATATTTGGACATACAATGGTATATATATATAAATATATATAATATATATAGTATCTCACATTATAACTAAAACATATAGTTTTGCATTTGCAGCAGCGAAATATACTCGTATGTACGCAACATTTTTAGGAAAGGTCTGGTAATTTATTTGATATTTATTATATATTTATTATTAATCTTTTGTATTTATGCTGTTGTAGCGTTATTGTAACATTTATTTTTGGAAACTCATGAAATATTCCGGGATAAAAAGTATCCCATGTCTTTCCCAGGTCTCAAACTATCATCTTACCTTTCATTTAAATCGGTTCAGTAGATTTAAAGATTACCTCCTACAACCTCACAAACTTACAAGCTTTATAATATTATATTAGTGAAGATTATTTGAATTAATAGAATAAAGTTTTTTTTATCAGTTTTTTACTATCGATGTGTAATTCTGTATTGCCTTGTTTCCCAAACTAAATAAAAATGTAGACATTTTCGTTTACACCATATTATAGTTTACTACTACAGACGGGAGTCGATTAGGCGGTATCGAAGTTCCATGTGCTTACTTTGTTCTCCAGCTCGCCTTTATAGCCTCGTCGTTTATTCTCCTTTGACGAGCTTTGTGCTTGGATGATCTTTATTGGTAAAGCACGAGGGAGCTGTTTCGATACACTGACTGCGTGAGAGCTGGCTACAGCATAGGGACATGGGAGATAGGAGCGAAATTTACGACTTCCATCTGTTAGGTTCATGGCGCCGAGTGGTGGCGTGCCGAAGAGCGGATGCGAGATTAGTTATGTTACATAGACGATTTGTTTCTAATTTGCCAATTTATTCTACTTGTTTTGTTTACCTTTACGATAAAAAATTTCATGATGATGATGATGATGATGAAGCAACAGTTCAGTTTAGTGGTGGCAGGCTCAAGTCGAATTACAAAAAAGTAACTCGTATTTATGATGAGAAAAAGATGAAGATTATAAACGCTTCTAAATCGTTTTCATTTTTCTTAAGAATCGTTTTTGTTATCTCTATATTGCCTACTACGTATTACTAAGACTATTTTGTTCGTCCCTCGTTTGCCTGGGCGGCTCGTGGCATCGCAGTCCACTGAACTCATACCTAACACATATGAGGGACCCTCTCATGCGTTATTTTATGAGATTTATAAGAAAAATTGTTGAATATTCTACATCTATAATATATATTTATATATATATATTATATATATATATATATATATATATATATATATATATATATATATACAGAGGCCACTGTAACAGAATGCTTACTTAACTGACTTATAAGCAGAACTGAGGGGAATATAGACCAGACCAGAGTCGCAGATTTGACTCCTTTATAAAGCTAATACTTAACTTGATCACACATTAATTGTATTTAATATGAATTATCTAGATATAGATAGATATAAAAATAAAACTACTTAAATTTGAACAGTCGATTATTTACACGGAGTAGATAACTTAGGATAAATTGAAGTTCAAGATTAGACTAACCGCCGCGCCGTGACCAACATCGGTCAGGTAGGCATTCTTAGAATATTTGATAACGTTACAAATACAGAACTGTTTATTGTTGCAAAATATACAGTTTCACAAGAATTTATGTTGTCCAGTTAAATTAAAAATTTATTCACAAATATTTCAACTGCAACTTTCGGAGAATCGAAATGCTAATGTTTTCATTATAAATAAAAGGTTTGATTGGTGACTCTACTCTTCCGCAAAAGCTGTCAAAATAAGTCTATTTATTAATACTAGTGTTCGTTACCCTACACTCATTATTGAAAATTGGAGGAAAATATATATTATATATGAATAGAATATACCTGTATATATAAAAACTAACTAGTTACAGTATAGCTCGTCAACAGCTATTAAACAGAAAATTTAAGAAAATCGTTAACAAACAGAGGAGAACAAGGTACCGAACTGTTTTATCTTTGCTTATTTATCTAAAGACGTGAAGTAAAGTTTTAAAAACATAAGAATCCGTAGGCTGAACATTTTATTGTTGTGTACACAATATCATTGTTTTATTATTAGCAATTAGCGACGCGTGGCGTGTTTGAATGACTTTTTATATCAAACCAACTTTCCACACACGCCACTTAATCTACCGGGTAGAAAAGCCTTTGTTACTTTCCGCTCCATAAACTAGATAGTTTGTTCAAAAAATGTTTGTCGCATCATTTGTGGCTCCGTTGCTGCTAACTACTACTAACATAATGTGTACTTTAGCTTTTATTATATCAGTATAGATTAAACTTTCATGTACAAATCAACTACTTTCGTGACATTAATAGTAGGTATAATTTTCTCAGATTTTCTTAGATTTAGGCGAATATTTGACATTTTAATTAAAACTATCTTTTCGGATTTTTTCGCGGATTTATTTAGATTTTTGGTTCCCGGCGTTTCGAATGCTATACAACAATCACGGTCACGGGAGAAACTAAGGTTTAAGATGTCTCAAAAGCATTATATAGTTATTACAGACATCCTACCCACAAATAATTCGCGAAAAAATCGAAAAGATAATTTTATTTAAAATAAATAGTATGTATAATAATTTAAAAAAAAATAATAGAAAAATGTTTATTTTCTATCCGAACATACCAAGTTACATTATAATTAAAATTGTAAAATATGCAAAAAAAGGAGGTACAAATACTTTTTACATACCTGTAAAGCAATTTCGAGAGAATATCATGCAAATGCCAACATTTTTAATTTACATAGAGATTAAGGCGTAAAATAATTTTTTAAATAGCACTCTCGCGCAAAGGTAGAATTAGGGATCACAATTTGCAAGGGACCAATGTATATTTACTTTTAAACTGACCCGTCGTCTATTCGTTGTTCGGGACCTTGCGTATCGCCATTTTGTAAATAGTAATTTTGCTTTTACATAGGACCCTGAATAAAATTAATAATAAGTATTTATTGTCACTTTTATCTTTTATTTCGTTTTTTTTTATTTGCAACGTCGACAGCTTGATAATAGTAACTTGTAAATATCGTTATTTAAATTATTTAGTAAACTACCCATGCTATCAAATAACCTTATATTTTTTTTCAAACTTTTCGTAAATTAATTTATACTACATCGTTTTAAATCTATGATGCCTAACAGAGAAACGGACGAATTATTTTAGATATAGTACCGGATTTTATGGTGCTCATCATGATAATGACTCTATATTTTTAAGTGTTATTAATAATGTCTTCTATACATATACGAGTAATAAAAGCCGAATCTGTACATTAAATATTTTTTGGAAAATCTTATTAAAATAGACATTATTATCCATACAGAGGCCGAATCTATAGTTTTTAGAATTTTTGTCTGTCTGTCTGTTACCGCATCACAGAAAAACCTCTGGAGGAATTTTGATGAAATTTGGTATGATGATAGCTGGTTATCCGGGTCAACATATAGGATACTTTTTACCGCGGGAAAATGTCTCATTTCTGAGAAAAAATACAAAAACTGCAATGTAAGAATATACTAATATGTAAAACCTAAGAATTTGGTTTTTGGTCATCTGAACGCGGGCGGAGCCGCGGGCTATGCTAGTGTACAATAAAACTATAAATTTATTCATCGGAAATATTTTCGCATCTTTTTTATTTTTACAGTCGTTCTCTTTTTAATCCAGGTCGTTCACAATGCAGCGTTTTATGTAAGTGCATACGTGCGCTGTCCACCCGCTACGAAATGAACATGGTAATGCTCTATGTACACTTTCGCGTTGCTTTTGAGCTGTAGAGTGTAGGTACCGTGTGCCGTACACTGTTAGAAATAACAAGCTGGAATTACTCGGCTTCAATATGCTTACAATGTTCATTTGTGCTTGTTAATATTTAAATTTCTTCTATTTCTCTAGAGAAGGGCAAATACTACTGTTTTCCTTAAATGGACCTTTCGGTATGTTTATCTGAGAATGAGTTTTTTTATAACAGAAGACTAATTTTTTTTTTTAGCAAGTCATTACTGTAACAATAACGCCTGCCAATCAAGTCTCTATGATAGGAAATCGCCTAAGACCTAAATCTAAAGCTAAGCTGTCTGGTACTTAATATTAAAAATATTAATATACTCTCTTATATTAAAAATATTAATATACGACACTCTGTAGAGCATAATATTTGTTTGTGATTTATAAGCTTGTATAGCTTTTTAGGTAAAATAAAATTAAATGAATAAATAAAATGACAATGTGTTAGAGTTGTTTATATAAAATTTAAGCGGAACGCAGCGAATAGTTTTTATAAAAAATTGTAAACTCTTATATATTAACAATAAAATTAAAGAAAAACACAAGCGGGCCTTACAGTAGTCGTATTCGATGTGTGACATCTGACACCTCGCCTTATTATGTATATTTTATTCTAATTAAACTATTTAACTTAAATTTGCTAATGGATTCTCTTTTGTAATCTAATCAAACTGATTAAAATAAATTTGAAGAGAATTTTGAATGTGGTTAGAATATTTGTATAATTACGTAAGTTGAAAATGTGGATTATGTTTTATTCTGATAAAAATGTATTCAAATTCAGAAATTATAATCATTTTAATTGAAGTCGGAAAAATGGTCACTGAGTTACTTTATTGCCTATTTTTGAGAATGTAAACTTCTAGTCTATAATAAAAATATAAAAAAGAGATTATATCAGTTCTAGTGCTTTTACTATACACGAGTCTTACGCACTAAAAGGCATTAAATCAGTAAATTTTAAATATATATTTTTAAAGTTAAGTTTTTATGAGCAGCAAACAGCCTTTTATCTATATAAATAATAAAATAATTCAAGTTTCCATTACACTGTGTACGGATGTCACTTGCTATTGCACTTATATGTGATGTGACTTTAATAAAGAGAAAATGAGCATTTCTGTAGGCAAGTAGAGTTAAAGATTCTTTTTACCTCCTATTTAATATATAAGTTTACGCGAGTTTATTATAAATTTTCAGTTTTATTGTGAATCAAACACAAGAAGCGCTAAAGTTTTTCAATCTAAGAGTTGGAAGACCATAAAGGAATAAACTTTTCCCATATCCTGTTAGTACTTCACGTCAATACGCTACGCTGACAGAGGTAATAAAAGACGTATTAAGTGCAAAAAGAACTACACGTGGCGTGAATTTACTCCACAATGTACGAGGTGTCTGCCAGTAGCCTATGTATTACTCCTAGGTCTATTTATGTGTAAATTTCATTCAAATCCGTCCAGCCCCTTTAATGTGAAGGAATAACAATCAACGGTGCCAGCCTACAAAATTTTAAGATATGAATATCTTATAGGTAAATATGTATTTTACGTATCAAATTACATTAGATTTCCCATGCGTCGGCTGGCACCGACTTTGAAAATATCTGATTAGGTATCTATTCTAAATGAAAACTCCCGTTTAGTTATTTTTTTACATTTTCAGTGCCTGGAAGTCGGTTTTATTTTTTGTTAAAAAGTTTTCGTTACGTTACGATTCCTACCTGACAAATTCTACCTCAAGCCGCGTTAAGAAACTTCGTTCTAATAATATATGAGAATGATGTAACACGACATCTAGTTTAAGCTCCCTCGTAAGTTATGATTATTATCATTATATAAGTCAGTCACCAAGCAGAGTTATAAAGTATTTTAGATAAGCTTAAAGCAGTGTTTCAAGAACAGTACATAACTGCAATCCACTGAACAGATTAAAAGCTTTTTGCAAAAG